TGATTAGAGAAAGTGATGGGTTATGATGTTAAAATTGAAAGAAAGTGTTAAATTTGTGAAGGAATTTCTGAGACGCGACGAAGGGAAATTAAGAAATAAGAAATTAATTTGTGGGATATTATTTGAAGAGTTTAAAGATTAAGATTTTCTGGTAGCTCTTAATGTTTTTTTATTAAGTTTGAATGAGCTTTATAGGTTTGCTTATAGATATAAGATAAAATATGGGAAGAAGAGATATGTTGTATTTTTAGAGAAAAGTTACTGTGTAAAGTAAAGGAAATGAAATGAAATCGATTTACTTGTTTAATGTTATATATATTGTTATTTCTAGTAACTCTTAATGGACTTTTGCTGATTAAGATTGAATGATGAAGTTTTATTATTTACTAATAGATAAAAGATGAGATACAGGATGAAGAAATTTTTGGTTGAAATGTTAGAGAAGGTGATAAGTTACTGAAATTGTTTGTACTTCTCTTAATGAAAGTCAGTTCTTTATATATTCTTTTTTCTTTATATTTTTTCTTTTTCCTCCCCCCTTTTTTTCTTCTTTTCCCTTTGCATTTTTTCTTCTTTCTTCTTTCTTTTTATATTTTTCTTAGTTTATATTAGTTTTTTATCTCTGTATTTTTAAACTTTAATAAAAATTATTATTAAAAAAAGGATGAAGAGCTGAAACAAACCTCATCTGATGCAGAAATATTAGAATATAAAGAAATTGTTGAAATACTGGAAAATTAAAAAAATAAGATAGAGATGACAGTTAAAGTAGAAATACAACCCAAGAGAATGACCTGAATAATGACTCCTTACTGGATTTACAAAAGAGGTTTGCTAAAGCCTTTGAGATGGGAAGAAGAAAACTGAAGAGAGATCAAATCCTGAATTAAAGATCAAGATTGCTAGAAGCAAAAGGAAGGAGTACAAAGTTGGCTTGTTTGACCAAGGTTAAAATAAGATATGTTTCTATACAATTCTGGGAACCCTTTATGGACTTTTTGCTGACCTCAGGACTGAAATGTTAATGATTTATGGATTTGCATATGGATAAGGGATGGGTTATGGGAAGAAGAGATGTAACCTTATAGGGAGTGAAGATACTAAGTTTGTTTGTACTTGTTGCGATGAAGATCAGAAGTCACATCTTCAAATATTTCTTTTCTCTTTTTCTTATTTTTTTTCCTCTTTCCTTTTTCCTTTTTTCTTCATCTCTGGTACTTGTCTGTTCTTTCTCTCTTTCTTTTTCTTTTTCTTTTTCTTTTCCTTTCTATTGTCTTTTATTATTGTTTTTTTTTAATGTTCAATAAAAATTATTTTTAAAAAAGAGGTATGTTCTTCACCTGCCTAGAGGAGGACTTCCCCTGCTTGCCTTGTTCCTATCATTTAGCCATGTTTTCATATTGTCTGAAAGACATTCGCTTATTCCAAATAACGCACAGAGAGAAGCTGTACTTGTACAATCGATACCCATGTAGATTTTTTCAAGAGGACCCATCAAGGTGGATCGATTCAGAGAACATCTCAACATGTCTTCAGTCTTAATCCAAAGACTGGCCTGTCGAGGCTCCCGTGCACAGGTATGGATCACAGCAGCAGGAAACGCTGGTCCACTCACGGAAAACCAATTGCACTGCCAACAGTATGGCTACTTTAAGTGGGATGTAGCTTCCAAGTGATTTGAGGTATGGGGTTAGTTAGGGTGTATGTGTCTAATCTCAGTTTTCCTTGAGATCCATTTACACGGAAATATAGAGAGCTACAGCTAGAAAGAGAACCTCCTTTTCAAAAGAGCTAAAAGAGGATTAAGAGAGAGATGTGTATGTGTTTCTTTTGCTTCACTGTTGCTGCTAGTCAAACAGGTTTGGGGTAAGTGTTGAAAGAGTATACAAATGTGACTCCTGTAATGAACAGCAGGATTTGTTGTTATTTGTACAGCCACTGAACATCTTGAGGATGCCCCTTTATCTAAAAAAAAGTTTCCCCAAACTATAATCTGTTCTCTGTCTCTCTAACGTTTGGGCCCACCTATCCATTATCTCAGCCAAAGCATGTTTGGCAACATAGTAGGAAATGTTGGTAAGGGAGGAAAGATGCTTAATCCTTATTCATTTATTCATTCCCCTTGCAAATGTCTTTCTCAATCCCACCGGCTTCTTGTTGGGCTTGTTTTAAGGCCATTAGATCTGGGCTGCAGATTTCAGGCAATGGCAGCAAGAATTGTAGTTTTCTGCATCTCTTTACTCACATCTAATGGGTTGTCTGAATATTTGCAGCCAGATCTTACTGGATCAAGGTTGTTTACCCAGGATTTAAAGTGGGGCAGAAACTCTACTTTTTATAATGCTGCTATGGTATTCCAAAGTAATTGTTAATAGATAATGCACATCATGTTTACATGAGCAAGAGAAAAATGGAGAAGTACAGGCAGCAATAAAAGCTGATCATTGAGAAATATTTTTCTTTCAGTGCCTACAGCAAATCCAGGGGTTACTGGGATGAGTAAGCAAGTAGTTAAAACACATACAACTAGATATTGTATTAAGAACTAAAGACACAGAGTGAAGAAGGGGCAAGTCAACAACACTTGTTGGTTTCTTCATAGATTAGTGGTAAAGGGAAAAGTAAGTAATTCTGAGTATTGATTTTTAAATAAGATTTCATTCCTATCATAGAAGAAAAGGCAATGATGTCATTTTCAGTTTGATGATACATAGCCTGTATTAGTCACTAGACCAAATATAACATGAATGACATGTTACTTCTTCAAGAAGACATACTACCCAAATGCAAAGAGGAATGAAAATGCTTTTTAAAAATAAATATGACTCCTAGGATGCCAGAGACCATCATATGGGAAACAAGTAAAGCTTACATGAGAGGTATTCTCCTAAGTCTCGCAGCAAACCAGAAGAAAGAATGTAACAGTCAGAAGTCATACCTGGAAGAAAATGAACTAGAAGAGTTTCACAAAACTAACTCGAGACAGGAAGTACTGAAAGAGGATGGACAAATTTCAGCATTGTAGGACTTGTTTTGTTTTTGAATCCCAGCTGAAGAAAAGTATAGAATACAGTAGCAGAGAAGGCAATGGAGTGAGGATCTAGACTTCAAACAAAAAAAAACTGGGTGCCTTTCTGTTTTAATTCCAAAAGTGAGCCAGTTTAGAGGCAAGAAGGGATTTTGGCATTTCTGGTATTGTTAGAGAATGGGGGATCAGAAATCCTTCCTGATTTACTGCAGATCTGGGCTTGATCTGGAAGGTGTGGGCATTAGAAGGGTTTGCATGACAGGTAGTCCTCATTTAGCTACTGTCAGAATCCTCGCAAGTTTTTATAATAGATTATTAGATGGCTAGTTTCAAAAGAAAAAAAATGTTTTTTTACATGCTGCGGTTCTGCCATTGTAAAAGGGGGGGGGAATTAGGGATGAGAAACCGTTAAAAAGCAGATGGCTCCTTATCACAACCTCTGGCATGCTCAAGGTCATA